AGAGATCGTTTTGCTCATAGCAAACCGTGATCGAGGTGAGGCACCAGCTTTTGTGCGAAAGGCGCAGTCCTCACTTCTCTAAGCGTGTGCTTCGTTTGGGTGCCCAAAGCACAGTGTAGGAACCAGGTTTAAGAGTGTACCACTTGACGCACGCACCTTTCGCTCTTGCTGCAGAGCTTGACCCTGAGCTCAGCCCGATGCAACAGACTGGCTGCAGCTGGGTTTGTCCCGCAGAAAGCCACTCCGAAGCTTCTGTACATTCGTCCGCCGAGTGCTTCTGCCGCCAGTGCAGAGTTATGCATGGCCAAGGTGATGTTTGAGCCCCTGGCGCCGGATAAAGTCTCGGACAGAGATGTTTTCTGCATGGCAGCAAGGGCTGCTTCCCTAAGCACCAGAATCTAGGAAAGTGCCCAAGGCATATTCCTTCTGTACCGCCAGAGCTCCGTCAGCAAAGGAGATCCGATTCTGCAGAAAGGTCTCTCAGTCAGTCTAGATGCGCGTGCACGAGTCGAAGAGTGAGTACGAGACAATATCACAGTGCAGATCAATGGACGGTCTCGAATCTATGTTGCAGCTGTTGTAGTCCGTACCCCGGACGTCAAGACCGAAGTCCACACGAGCCTCCAGGTCCAGCGTTACGTACTGTAGCTGCAGCTGTCCCAGCTGTGCCGCATACAGAGGAAAAGTGATCGCGAGTGTCATCACCACCGCGAAGTATGGCTAGTAGATTCTATCCTCGCTAGCCTTTCCAACTGGATGTGCGACCGCTTCAGCACGGCATATGTCAATGTGAACCATCCCAGTCAACCCATATGCAAGAGGGTTAGGTCTGTGCAGTTGATTGTGATCACTGCGATGCCATGGCACCGGTCCCTCAAGCTGCGGTCTCGAGGCTTCCTTCTAGCCTTAGTGATCCTGGGCTTGGGCTGGGCCTGGGCCTGCTCTAGGCTTCCCGGAGCCTTTGTGTACGGCTGCAACCTCGCGCCAACGCGGCATACGAGCCGGCCGGCACAAGCGCAAGACGTCATGAAGGAGACACTGTCGGACTTCGCAGAAGCCGTAGTCTCGGAGAACTCCACTGCTACGGGCAGCATTCCAGAGAGCACCGCTGACTTCTGGCGACTCACGGACAGCGAGAGGAGCATTGGCGGACGATCAAGAATCACTAAGTCAGCTGCAATCGTTGTACTAGGGGTGGTAACAGTCTTGTGGGGTTCCCAGCATTCCATCATCAAGTACACCTTGCAGCAGGGTGCCAACGACAGTCTTCAGGCTGCATCTTTGAATCTGGTTCGTTTTGGCCTGGCGGGGCTTTGCTTCTCGCCCTGGCTGCCGGCTGCTCGCCCAGAGCGTCAAGGTGTACGGGCCCGGCTTGAGTGGCGAGCCGGTGCAGAATTAGGCTTCTGGCTGTTTTTGGGCTTCTGCTTACAGGCAGCGGGGCTCCTATATACGACGGCGCAACGCAGCGGCCTTCTGCTGTACCTCAACGTGAAGCTCGTCCCTTTCTTTGCTTGGTCCATCTTTGGCCGGGCAGTTCCCCTTTCAGCCTGGCTGTCGGCGCTCGCAGCATTCCTAGGAACCTTGTTGGTCGCCATGGATGATGCTGCTGGGGTCGACCCAAACGTCGGAGACCTGCTGAGCTTGCTCGCAGCGGCAGCTTCGGCATTTCGGCTTAAACCGCGAATCGTCCAGGTCAGTCGGTTCGTGTAGCAGTCTGGCATGTTACTGACAAGATCCCATGCAGTAGGTAGGGGTGTGGCAGGGGCAAACCTCTCACGCTTCATGAACCACTTGCTGCATGCAGCCTCGCCCACGTTTCCGAACTGATAATATAAGCTAATCCTCCAGGGGCAGATGTCTGCTTGGGTTGCAGGACGTCGGAGTAGAGCAGAACATCAAACTCCAAACACAACGAAGGCATGTTGGCACAACGCATGGGAACAGGGTAATCAATAGCCAAGACCCAGACCAAAAAGAGCTGCAAGCCCCAGCACACAAAGACTTGCTGACCAGGCAATGTTTATTCTACGGCTGGAAACGTTTGCGCCTGTTACGGACGACAAGGCCATCAATGCTGTCAGCACGCTGTCTGCCGCGCACTGAGCGAATGCCACACTGCGGCTGCAAGTGCTTTGGTTTTCGTGTTGGCTTGCCATGCAAACGGTGCTTGTCCCTGCCAATCCTCTCCTCCACGTCGCCTGCTTGAACCCATTGCAAGGTTGCACTGCTTTGTGTTCCCTGGGCACTTCTGGTAGCTTGCGGAAGCGCACCAGCAGAGGCCGAGATTTAAATTCGCTCCACGAACATCAAATGCACAAGTTTGTGTGTCGCTAGTCACGGACGTGTTGTACGGGACCAGGGTGTACATGTAGGTGCCATCTCCAGAACCAGACACACAATCTTCTCTTTCAGAGAAGTCCCCACTGCAGCCTGCCGGCGCGACAAGATCTGTAATCTCAAATTTACAAGCCCTGATCTGCGGCAGGACAAATCGACCTTGTCAAGTCTGAATGTCTGTCGGCAATCAGCATCTCGAGTGCCAGCTTCAATTTTGAAGCCACGATGCTACAGCTATCAGATGCTATCAGCCCAGAATCGTTCCAGAGACTCGCGCCCTTTTAGAGATACTGAGCTTCTACCGGCTTCGTTGTGCTTGCAGATGCTTGCAGCTCAAAATCTCTAATCTCTGGTGCTGGAGGTGCTCGGTGGGCCCGTAGACGGCCTCGCTGCCTCGGCAGTAACCAGCGTCGCAGGACGCTGTTGGGATCTGGTCCTCAACCAACCGCCTTTCAGCTGCACTCTGAGGGGATCGCACGCTCTTGCGCCTGGTATGATCTGTTAAAGACCACCTGCGGAAATCCCAACGACTCAGGTTGTCGGTGCTCTATCTTGGGGTGCTGACCACGGCATTCACGAACTGGCTTCAGACCATAGGCCAGCAAAGCGTGCCGGCCACAACGGCATCTGCCATCTATGCACTAGACCCGTGCCTGGGCCGAAGCGGAATTTTTGGGGGCCCTCATGAACTCAAAACTCAGCCACGACAACTGCCAGACAGGCTCTGGGGCGCTTTCTTTGCGTACCTCTTCCTCGGAGAAGCTCTCGGACCGCAGGCCTGGAAACGAGTCACAACGAGCACACAAGACCTGAATGAGGGCATGTGGCTTTTCCGAGGGTCTCCTGGGATGCCTTTTGCTGTTTGCGGTATGGCTGTACCAACTGGTGCCTTGGCTCATGTTGGTCGGTTTCGTGACATTGCTTCTTCATTCCGAGATCCGGGCGCTCGTTTGCACATCCCGCTGTGACTCAGGCATCAACACTTTCAGAGGAGCCAGAGCAGCCTCGTAGCTAGATTAGTTCGGCAAGCCTGCAGGGATGTGCTGGAAAGAGGCGCCAGTTCTGAGTTCTGCTTTGGGCGTACCCCCTTTCGCCCCCACTTCGTAGACATGGTTTCATGTACCAATGTGAAGCCGCTGAGATGTCTTTAGGCCCTTGCCTGCCTGCTTCTTTTATAATCGGCTCATCTCGTGCAGCTCGCATGGCTTTGGGTCCAGATTCCAGCCTGAATGTCCAACAGCTCGGCAGCACAGTAGTGCCAGGCAAACCATTGGAGGGGAGGGGTGGGGAGGTATGTATGTACATATATATATATATAATATACCTACCTACCTACCTACCTACCTACCTACTTACTTACCTACATACATACATACATA